GTGACGAATGCCGTTTCTGTATGGTCGGGAAAGAGTCAGAAGGCGACGTGGTGAAAGACGTGACCCACAATTTGCCAGAGAGCGTCATGTTCACCACACCGTCTGAGTTATGGTATGGGGTGCTATTGCTTATGGTAGCAGATCACCACTAATTTTCTTCAGAGGCAATATGACAGCCCGACGGTATATTCAGTAAGTAGTGGAGCCTCATCTTATTCCGTACCTAAACACCATCCAAAACCCGATTTTTCATCAAGACAATGCCAGACCGCATGTTGCCAGAGCATACTTAACCTTCATGGATCAACATCGCATCAACCGTTTACCTTGGCCACCATTATCGCCTGACCTATCTCCAATTGAACATGTATGGGACGTGATAGGTCGCAGGCTCTTGAATTTGCAATACCCTCCACATACTTTAGCAGCTCTTACTCACGAAGTTGCAGTAGCCTGGAAGGAGATACTCTAAACAGGATATCGAACACCTTATCAGCACGATGCCCAGGCGTGTCAATGAGTGTATAAGAAATCGTGGATCCTCAACACATTATTGAACCAGCTTCTGAAGTCAGTTGATAAATCAAGCTGTAAATTTAATCATTTAATTAGTAAGGGAGTGTCTCATGCCAAAAATGTTTAAAATCGGATAAACATACGTAAGGGTTTACCTTTTTGTCAATCAATATATATACTTAAATGGTTAAAGTAATATTATATCACAAACGATCAGGCGGAAAGCTGTGACTAATGAATTAGGTTCTCTGGGCGTTTCCGCAGTCTGCTTTATTCCCTGTTTCTATTACGCCAAACTTACGCCAACTTTAGCGCTCGCTGCGAATAAATTGTTGCACACAATATGACGACCACGCGAACTGTATTTCTTTTCCGTTGCTAGGTAACGACGCAACTACCAGCTCTAGTATTTATTCTTATATTTAATTCTTGTTTGATTGCAGCGTGTCGCAGATATGTATCTCTGGCCTAATAGCGCTGATGTGCTTTGCAGTGCTAGAGCCCCTGATGCCTCGCGCACTGAGTTGAAATTATACTCCGCGGGTTAAAACTCCCTCTTTGCGCCCTAAATACATAAATAGCTATTTGTTCTTGAGATACTTCATAATATTTACACAGCAATTTTTATGATTTGATTGCTGAATTTTAAGCAAAATTAAGGTTTTTCAGAGGAGGGAGGAGAGTCGTCACCTAGGGGAGCACTAATTACTAATTAGGCATACACCTACTTTTTCCAAAGCCCGAGTACCGGGCACTCGGTCATATTCGTGTACCGGGTAACCGGTCGAGTTCATTCCACCTACTGTCAGTTATGTTAAACTTATATTTGCGTTTTTTAAAGGCCCTTATTCTCGAAATTGATTTGTTTTCCCAAAAATTATCGCACCACAGTTGGGCAGCTTAGACGATTTTTTGTAAGTAAACTATCGTAGGTTAGTGTATTTAGAGTATTTCCAGAAGTTCTGATTTTTCAAATATAATATACAGTCTTGCAACAGCTAGATGTTTTTCACTGTGAGATTCAGCAGCTGCAACACTGAGTTAAAATTGAAACCATATTTTTACATCACATTTTTGCAATAATTGTTTTGATATACTTTTCAATACTTTCCATTGCAAAAGAAATACATCTGTGAAATATTTGAAAGCACATCACCATGAACGTATATTTTACTGAAGATAGGCAACGCGAGGCTTTAAGCTGCCTAATTTTCAAAATATTGTCTGAAAAAGTCGCTGTCATGTCATCGCCATCACGAACACTGGAGTTGAATCTTATAGATTTTTGAGATGGCTCTAGAAGGAGATTACAAAAGAAACAAAGTTACTAGATATCCTGACAGGACCATTTTGGATTCAGGAAGGACAAAACTTAAATTGTCCTTCACGTATGAATGAACAGTTTCTTTTTCTAAAAGCGGCTAACTTGTGCCGAACATATTTTTTATGAACCGATGGCAGCGTTGCGTTCAAAATGCAGAGTTATCTCAATTGACGACATTTTTGAAGCTTGATAGTAGTCTTTTATACAGCCTTATGATAAAATTCGCTAACATTACCGTCTTTATAGTTCTCTCATATTGTTTTCCTGGACGTAGTTCTTGCCCAAAAACAATATTAAGCTAAACACGACTTGTAATTTATATACAGGGTGACTTGTAATGTCACGTATTTCTGTTAAGGGGTGATAGATTAGGTCAAAAGCAACCGATTTTGTTCTGTAATGTCCTATCCAGAAGTTAACCGTTTTTGAGCTATTAGAATTTTATTTTTTTTATTTTTTATTCCGATTTCAGAAGGTGAAATTTGAAATACAAAAAACTACATGTTTGATTTTGAGTTATTTGTTATCGTCGCATAGCGGACATTCCAATAGTTCATAATAAGTAATAAAATGTTGAAAACTTACAAAAGTTTTAAAATTACGCTTTTGAAATGTATGATTTTCTTATTTTTTTACTAACTTATTCGATAAAAAATGCAATTTTCTGTAAAAAATCTCCTAGTAATGAAATGTGCAAATTATGTAAATAATATCTCTATCTAACAAGCTTTCATTTGAGGTATAAAAGTTACAACTAACTCAAGTACAAAGACATAAAATTGAAAAAAGATGAGTAAAGTTGTACGAACGATAATTACGTAGGATAAATAAAAGGCTTTTATTTTAATTACAATTTTATTTAATTACATTTCCTTTAGTGTTTTATAGATTCTGCTCAAATTGTAATCCCCTGTTACGAATACACGTCCGCATTCTCTTACGTAATTCACTTTTGGTAACTCTAGTTGTTAAGCGGCTTTTTATTTGGTCAGCTGCACTGATTATCCTTGTAATTAATTCATCGCGCGTTGGTACGGGCGAAACATCGTACACCAGGCTTTTCATATGTCCCCACGTCCCCACACATGGTAATCCATCAGTGTGAGATCTGGGCTTCTTGCTGGCCAGGCAATGGGCCCGCCTCTGCCAATCCATTGATTTGGAAATTTAGAGTCTAAATACGCCCGTACTAATCTACTGTAGTGTGCGGGACAGCCGTCGTGCTGGAACCGCATATTTTGTCTCGTCGCCAATGGACGTCTTCCATTAATCGAAACAAGAGATTTTTCAAGAACTCTTCATACACGTCTCCATTTAAATTGGCGGGCAGAAAATGAGGTCCAATTAAATATCCATCAATGATGCCCATCCACACATTGACTGAAAACCGGCTCTGAGATCCCGTCGGTCTTATTTTTCGGGGGTTTAACCCTTTCAGATCCAATTTTTGTTTTCTGTTCTTTAAGAATATTTTTGACAAATATGGGTTTTTAGCAAGTAATATAGGAAAATATTTTAATTGGAATAAAAATTTTCAAAATTTTGAAAAAATTAGTGGTGGGACAAATATATCCCAGTGGGTGTTTTAAATGGGACATATTGGTCCCAATGGGAAAACAAAACAGGTTTTATGCGCTTCAAAGATATTACAGTTTTATTTCAAAAAACAAAAAGCATAAAGGTTTCATTACTTAAGAAGTATGGTAAAGGGCAAAACAATGTTTACATAATCCTACATTACACATTGTACAAATAGAAGTGGTTCTACGCTCCTTTTTTTGTATAGCACAACGTGCGCAGCGTCGTCTTTTTGCTGATTCCACTGGCAAATGATCCCCGACATTTTTCATAACTTTGGTTCTTTTTGATGGCCTACCATGACTCTGCGTCGAAGCTTAACTAAAGTTTGTTTTTTCCCTTTTTCGATTAGATCTTCTGATAGAGAAAATAGAAATTCCAATAGGGGTATTTTCTTTTGGGTTCGGCGTACGTCGTTATATATTACCCAGCTATTAACTACAGAAATCATCAGCAATCGATAAAATACCTTTTTCCACCATTTACATGATTTTCGATCCAAATTGTAAACGCCGCTCATTTGATCTGCAAGATCAACTCCACCCATTATTTCGTTATAAAATGCAATGGCGGTAGGGCATGGCACATCAACTTTTTTGCCACTTTTGTCTTTTCTCTTTACACTTGTCATGACTGTACTATGGCAATTACTCAGCACAATGACTTCTTTCGTATCTTGCCATCTGGTTGCGAGAGAGCTTGATTGATTCGTCAAAAACTCACATTCGCCTCTATTCATTTTTCTTTTTTCTTTAAATTTTTTTGGCATATCTTTTCTCGTAAGTATGGCAGTTCCCACTGCTGGGTACTGAAGGTAGTCCATCAAATGTACTGAAGTAAACAATCGGTCAAATGCCAATACAACATTCGGATTTCTTATGGTCTCACATAGTTTTTTGACTACTGTTTCACCAAGAGTTCCGCATCTTTCAACATCTTCTTTGCCGCAGTATACATTTGTGTCATATGTATATCCTGTTTTAGCGTCACATCTACACCATAATTTTATGCCTCTCTTTACTGGTTTTTGGGGCATATACTGCTTCAATGACGACCTTCCCTTGAAGCCAACCATGCTTTCGTCTATGCTTTGCCTCAAACTGTCAGATCGATACTTCTGAAAAGTGTATTTGAAACAGGATATGAGTTCCTGTACGTAATATATTTTACTAGAACCTTCTGGCTTTTTGGGGTCGTTAAAATAAAGCTTAGAAAGAAGAAACAAACATCTGTTCTTAGATATGGCTGATTTTATCGCTTTGTTTCCCAAAGATGGATGAGATGACCAGTAATGCCTAAGATTCGGTACTTTATTGTAGCACATAACCAATGAGCAACCGAGAGTGATCATAATTTCTCCTGCATCAGTAAGGGTAGCAGACTTGTTATTGCGATTATACATTTGAATTCTCTGGTTTGTACACTTAGCAATAAAAATAAACAGACTACGCGGAAAAAGTTTGTTGAATATTTCTAGTGGAGTAGAATTTGCGGTAATCGATGGGTCTACGGCACACTGAATTTCATCCGGAATACTGAACCGTGGTATGTGAGCATCTTTTGTCGGTAAAGACCATATTACATTGCCATTCATAGCAGGAATTTCAAATTGTTCGCCTGAGTTTTCCGCAGTAATATTTCCTTCTTCTTCTTCAGTATCGCTATTGTCATTTTGAATATCTTCATCAGAACTAGAGGACGGCTTGTATGATTCGTCCGACTCTCCACTGTTATGAAATGGATCTTCTTCTGAAGATGACTCCCCAGAGGCAGTACTCAATTCATCTGGTGAAGATATTTCGTCTAAGTTCTCAGCGAAGTATTGAAGCTCAGCATCAGTCAGTTTTTTATTTTTCTTGCTCGACATGCTAAAAAACCCATTGGGATATAAATCACCCAGTCAAAAAACCCACTGGGACACATGCATCCCAGACACAAATATTGAATCAAATTATGCAAAATAAATAATCAAAAATATATAGAAATGTTGCTCTAATAGACTCTTAACTTACCTGAAAGAATCTTTCAAAATAACTAGGCAACAACGACGAAATTTGTACAAAAACAGGACAAACAGCCGAGCACGTGCTATTTCTACGTTGTTTTCGAGTACACTGATCAGCACAAAGCATGCCGCCGCGAGTGAGAGCCTTGCATATGCTTCGGAATACCCATTAAAGACCATTCCTATGTAATACGGGATATATAAAGCACTGTGGGTATTTTAAATCATACGTTGGGACTTATATGTCCCATTGGGGCTGAAAGGGTTAAAGCTTCTTTATCAGCCCAGTAATGAGCATTATGGTAGTTAGTGATCCTGTCCTTATCAAACTTCGATTCATCGGCCCACAGAATTTTCTTAAAATAGTCTGGATCTTCTGTATCTGCATGTAACATGTACCTGCAGAAATCTAATCGTCTTGCAGGATCGCCCTCTTCAATCACATGCACAGGCGTGTAGTGATAAGGGTATAATCGTGCAGTATGCACAGTAAACCATACTTTGCATTGTGATATACCCAACTGAGCAGCCACAATGCGCGTAGACGTAGTAGGGTCTTCCTGAAACACACGAAGGAGTTCCACTTCATCTTCAGGAGGATAGACTCGGGGTCGACCATCATCACTATGCGAGTCCTTTGAGGACAGTAACGTTCAAACAAATTCCTTAAAAATCCAGCCTCTGTGGGTGTAATTGTTGTTTTAGATACTTTAGATAATTGAACGCTTAATACCTCAAATGAAAGCTTGTTAGATAGAGATATTATTTACATAATTTGCACATTTCATTACTAGGAGATTTTTTACAGAAAATTGCATTATTTATCGAATAAGTTAGTAAAAAAAAGAAAATGATACATTTAAAAAGCGTAATTTTAAAACGTTTGTAGCTTTTCAACATTTTATTACTTATTATCAACTATTGGAATGTCTGCTATGCGACGATAACAAAAAACTCAAAATCAAGCATGCCGTTTTTTTGTATTTCAATTTTAACCGTCTGAAATCGGAATAAAAAATAAAAAACTTGAAATTCAAATAACTCAAAAATGGTTAACTTTTGGATAAGACATGATAGGACAAAATCGGTTGCTTTTGACCTAATCTATCACCCCTTAACAGGAATACGTGACATTAAAAGTCACCCTGTATATATATGTGAGAAATAAAGCTTCCGCCTTTTGTTGGGTACTTCGACAAAATTCAACCAATGAGGACTCTTTATACTTTATTGGTCTCTAACTTTCAATGGAGTTTGCCATCTTCATCAGGAGCTGCAATAACGTTGAGAAGACGTAGCAACTATTGTGCAAAATGATTTTAAATTACCTTACAGTAGTATGTGAGATTGTTGCTAAATGTTATTAACGTTTAAGTTGAGGGAAACACCCAGTAACCTGGTGAAAGCTAGATACATGGTACATTCGTCAAAATTAATATAAACTACACACAGCTGTATGTCGGGAACGAATTAAAACGGATTAAAAATATTTAAAACGAAAGTTAAAATTACATCGTGAACCACTTAATGCTGCGCAAAATGGTGTGGCACAGGATCATAAGTAAGATGAAACATTTGACAGATGACAGAAGGTTGGTGGTGTCAGTGTCGATGGATGAACGAAAATTTTTGTTTGTAAAGTGCTATGTTGCCAAATCACTTCGGATGGTGTGATTTATCAAGATATGTTAAATAAGAACTTGTCAACAGACCAGAGGCAGTTGAATAAACTACGTTGTTGATGAGATGGACAATTGAACTAAACAATTATTATTTTATTATGAGAAAAAACAATTATTCAAATTTGAATGGAATGGAAATTTTGAAGGGAAAGGGTGGAATAGACCAAAAAACCAGATTCCATTTATGGTTGTGAAAAGTCAAAATTTGGAGAGATATGTACGTGCTCCAACTTTTCGCAGTTTAGCAAATATGAGTAAATGACGCTCAGTTGCTTAACATCTGTCTCCTTATTCATACAGTTGACATTCATGAAAATGTGGGACATTTCCACGAAAAAACGTTCGGATAGGTGTTTCTCTTTATCAAGAACTTTGATACTTTTGTAGTTCGCAGAGTGCCCTGTTGAATTGACATGAGATGCCAGTGCACATCTCTCGGAATGAGACGTAGAATCACTTTTGTGTGATGAAATGCTTCCTTTTAGAGATCTGGAGGTCTGACCAATGTATATTTGGTTGCAATTATTGCAATTGATAGAGTAAACTGTGTTGGTTAAGCCAAGCAGCAGGACTCTGTCTTTCATCTTTGACAAAATACAGTTTATAGTGAGGACAGATTTGCAAGCAATTCGACAGTTCAATGGGCTACATAGTCTGATCAGCTTGGGGGACAGTTCTTTAATATAGGGTACGACAGCAAAACCAGATCCGGAATTTGGGAGGGCGGTTATATTGTTATTGAAATTGGTGTTGTTATTGGGAATTTAATTAGTTCTGTTATTAGGAGTTGTGAACGCTGAACAAGATCTTGTTAATCAAACACTTCGGATAACCATTGTTGATGAACAGTTTTGATAGCTTCCGTAAATTTGCGGCATGGAAAGTATTATTTTTCACCTAACTGGTCTAGACGACAATGACCATGTCTCAAGTTATATATATATATATATATATATATATATATATATATATATATATATATATATATAATGAATCGCTATATTTCGCGTGGTCATGCCATAACTTGAGAACATGAGAACTACTTTACCGATTTCTTTCATCTTTTACATTACATTAGTTTCCTAATACTGTATAGAACGTTCTTACTGAAAGAAAATTTCGCAGAAAATTGGAAAATCATTGATAACCTAATATTATTTAAGCTTCGCGCGTTTGACAGTTTGCTTAAGTGTGGAGCACGCACAGCAGAAGAAATATCTCAAGTACTAAAATAGTTAGGCACTCCTCTCCTCCATCTTTATTCCAACAGCTATTGACAGTTAGCTATGTGAGAGAAAATTGCTAATAGAAATACGGTGCTTTCGTTTTTGGACTTAACATTAATTTCTTTACCATCCGTACTTTATGATGGCCTCTTCAAAATAAACTGCAGTGTTGCCTAATTGTTATCATCGAGAGTTAACCCTATGAATAAAAAATGAGATGTAAAAATATTGTTTTATTTAATTAGCAGTGCAGTCCATTCGATTAGAGCTTTTAACCAGTTTTCAGTTTGTTCAGTGAATTTTTTTGAGAAGTATTTGTTCAAAAATAATTAACAACTGTGCAAGTTATTTTATCACAATCTCGCCTTGTATTAAAATTGTGATTCTTCAAAATGCCACCAATTAGACGTACCAACCTAGATCGCAGGACTCGCAATGCTGCAAGACAAAGATATATACGAAGTAGTCAAACTGATGAGCAACGAGAAGCGAGAAATGAAGTTGAACGGATCGAAAGACTGATACTCAACTACGTAGAAGTATCGCATTCAATCCCAATCGAGATGCATTCACTTATGACGTGGTAATCGATTACAGTTCACAACAAATCGTTGCTATTAGACCAATGAAACGTTGTAAGTCCATATTGCAAGGCTTATAAATTTAAAAATGAAGCCCCTGGATTTTGTTGCGTTAGTGGAAAGATCAAATTGACTCCATTGGTACCACCACCAGAGTTACTACATTCATTGGTTTCCAGAAATGGGCCAGCCTAAACATTTTTTGATTCATATCCAGCAATACACTAATTGTTTTAAATGACGTCATTTGGAGCAACAAAATTCATTCCACATACTTTTATGCCTACTTTCAAGGTAAGTTGATGGTGAATGACAGTGCAGCCAACGTATTCTGCTATCCACATGACGGTACAAACACTTCGCTATACAATTTCCTATATATGCCATATATTAACGCTTTTATTATTCACTATTCATTCCAGTTCGGAGCTAAGACCGGACAACGTCTGTCGGGTCAGCTAGTATTTGTATAAAAATTCAACATTCATCCAATAAAAAAAAATGAAAGTGGATAGATAGGATCAGTATTTTCTCCGCCATGTCTTTTTTTGTTCTGTTATTGGCACTGGTCGATGACCAACTGTAAGTTACGTGTATCTGTATTCAATTCCGAATTCTTCAATCTCGCCTTCCGTTTTCAAAAACTCCAACACGTAGTATAGCAAGACAGGATTAGTGTAACCTGGCATGAAGGTAATAAGTAATAACTTGACAAGAGTACCAATCCTGAATTCAAATCCAGTCTGTGTGAGACCGCACGTATACACACTGTCAGTGAGATGCGCCAAGGTAAAGACGCCTTTGTCCTGGCACAACTTTGTGAAGACGTCAAACCGAGAATAAATTAGCTATATACAGAGGACAGCCCAGGATGGAGTCCGCCTTCAAATTGGCAAAGTTTGACGTGCTCCCGCTCACCTCGCTTGAATCTTAAGCTCGAGTTCACCCGTTGGCGTGTCGTACCAGTGTCGGCGAGTATATCATACCGTCGGGCACTATATATTTTTAAGTAATAATTCATCGATGATGATACTAACTTTGGCATTTTTGGCCATCAGAAAATCATGGTAATAAATTAAACCTGGGCCGCGACCTTCAAGGTTACGTTTAGGTTAATTCTGTATTTTAAAATGGAATTCCCCTTTCTCCACACCAGAATTGGAAAGATGATGAAATTTTACGTCCGACTATGACCTTGACCAGTACAAGGCAATGGCAAGGTGACATCAAGAGCTTGGAAATAATTTGCTGCAGTTGTGAGCTTTGTGAGGGTCACCTTAAGATGATTTTGACCATGAGCTTGACCAACACCTTCCAGGTCATATCAAAATTTGACACGTTCAAATATACACTTTCTTGCTTCCTGCAAACTG